TCTAGCAAGATTTACAAACCTCCGGGTCACTATACATAGGATCCGGAAGCAAGCTTGGGGGATCCTTGCTCATCAACCCATGAAATGTAGATGGCGGTTAGAGCTACAATACCCAAAACGTATTACTTTCACCAGCTCTTATGTGTTCCGCCGCTATCGAGCTACCGCTAATCACAGAGTTCGTGTTGTCAGTAATACAGGATAGAACATCCACACCAGCTGAGAGAGGGTAAGATTGGAGCTAATCGCAGCACAGCGGTGCTTAAGCGATGAGGACAATTAAACTTTGCTACGATGGAACACTGAACAAACCCTGGAGCCCCGCAAATAACCACATAGACACGTGATCACTCACCCTCCATGAGCTCAAGAACTGTTTCCAAGATCATGAGGGCTACTGTGACCGCGTTCTCAGATTCCAAAGCCTTCATGGCTCGACCTTTCCACGGGACCGTGGTGTAAATGGAGGAATCCTGATTCGGGTACCGAGCTCGCTCTATGTATGTCACACCGACGGCGAGGATCTTGCCAATGTTGGCCGGTCCCAGCCAGCTATCGTATAATACATATGCCCCCGACCCCAAGTCGGTGCAAGCCGACACAATCTCTCCAAGACATGCTGTTCTCTCACTCTCACCGATCCTGTCTCGGGTCAAACGAGCATATCCTCTCGTCAATTTGTAACGAGGCAGAGCATCCTCCCCAACCAAAGCAGCCAGCGCCCAGTGTGCCTCTTTACTACAAACTGAATTGATACTGTGCCCAAGAGCGATGGCTGCCATCACTGTCCGCCTGTGGTATTCTTCTACCCTGAAGCATTCCTCCACGTCTTCAAAGTGTCGTTTGCCTCGACGAAATCGTTGAGACTTCATGAAGTGATAGGCTCTATGTATTCTTCGAGACAAATCGATTTCGACTCACTATAACGCAACCCATTAAATCATGGCACTCATGTCATGAGTCAAAGTCGAAGACATTGTAAGCCACAATTTCTCTCATTATGCGCCTCTTCCATTAACCACTCAAGATAAACAAATCTTAAGTTTAGGCGCCTAGCCCCACTTACTCAACTCATCCGTGAGAGTATTTCACAAGGAATTCACACTTAGGGGTAAGGTTACTAACCTTACGAAAGTCGCAAGTAAGATCTCACTCAAGCAACTTAAGAAACTAACTTCGAAAACTCAAGAAACTTGAAATTGGAATCGAACCACCAACCTGGTTGCTCGTCGGTGAATAAAGGGGCAGGCATTCGTGGTTTGAAAATCTGAAAACAATCTGAAGAGGAGAAGTGTTCGTCGAAAACTGCGAAGTGGAGGGAAGAGAGTAGAATTGCCGACAGTGGGAATCGAACTTGC